TTGTGTAAATTCTTGGCTTATATTTATTTTATTCTTTTGCCTTTAGTACACCTCTTTATGATGAATGCTTTGTTTTGCTCGTAGCTTAACGTTTCGCCGTCGTATTCCAATATACAAAAGGTTTTAAACTATAGAGTATGATACTCAGCTATTTTATCTCTTATTATTCATCCAGTAGCTCTGTTTATTTCTTATATGATGAATATAGTAGATTATTATGGTAAATCCATATTTAAATTATTTACTTTTTATATTATATTCTTTGAATGTATTTGTATGACGTCTAAAATTATTATGATTATTTGAACAAATAATTGCGTTACTCATAAAGTATGAATATTCAACATTTTTTGAAGAATACATATGCTTTAACAAATTCAGTATATGACAGTTTCTAACTAAGCCTGATCAATAAGTTTTAATTACTACTATAGTTGAAAATGCTAATAATATGGTGTATGTTATAAACTAAACTTTGAAAAGTCAAGATTTAAATTATGAATTTTTATTTATTTCATTTAGTATTTCAAAAAAAAATTTAATATTAAACTAGTTAAAGATTTTTATTTTTAAAATTGATATTCAACTTTGAAATGTTTTTGATTCAAAGTATTTTAATGCTTTAGCTGGAATAAATACTCTGTATGAAAGACATTTACTCCCAAAATTGCAAAATTAATTTTATCTGTGACCTATTTTTATTTTTATAATTATTATTATTTTTTTTTATTAAAAACAATCTGTACATAAAATTTATAAAAAGTTTTTTTTTTACTTATTTAATTACATAGCATAAAAGAAGTTACTCATTGTTAACACCTCGAACCTATTTTTTATTAAAAAATAATTTTTCTTTACTCAATATTATTTTTATTATAAATAATAAAAGTTTATTAAACTCAAATCAAATAACATAATATATATATACATATACATATTAACGAAATAAAAATTTAGTTAAGATTACAGTAATGTACATAACAAAAATATTGAATTAATATATCTATGCTATTTCTATATTGTGAGTTTTTTATCATTCTTTTTTACACTTTACAATTAAAAACACGTGTTACTGCTACTCATATAAAATATTTGAATGCACAGAATGTCTAAAGTGACTCGCCTACGATGTGCTAATATAAATTGCACTGCAACATGTTACAGACAGCTTCCCATGATGGTTATAGTTTGTCAATTTTACATTTTTATGTATAAAATATCTACCTACGTGTCATCTGTGAAATAAACATGATGTTAATTTATATTAGGGTTTATAGCCTACAATTTTCCCATATATCATGTACATTAATTAAAAAAACAATTGTTATGGTGTTAAAAGAATAGCGTATTTACAAAAGTGATAAATCATCTTCAATAATTATTATATCAAAGAGTAATACTCATATTATGAAAACGCCTGTATTGTAACTATTATTATTTTTATGGATTTAATTTCCCAATAATTTTAAGTTTGCAATCATTTCTAAAATATAATCAGAAAAGTAAAATTGTTTATTATAGAAAACGAACATGACAAGTATTTAAAGAAAACTTAATACTGTAAATTGTTATTTATTCGTATATTCACCAAACTTAAATTTATTTAATTAATAACTTCTCGACAATTATCTGTATAATTTATAGATTTTTATTGGGATAACTTTTTCTAAAAAAAGAAAATGTGTAATACCGTCAAATGGGCCACTTTGGAATGGTGTTTTAAACTAGAGTCAGTAAAATATTTTATATATTTCATCACTTAATACAGCTACTAATGGTTAATTATGATAAATTATAATTTCAATTGTAAAATTGAAATTATGAATAAACAGCAAGTGATTTAGACACTTGCTTTTTATTCAATATTATTATTATTATTTAATAAATTTATATTTACAATTTTAATAAATGTTTGCTATAGAGATACCAAATATATAACTACTTTATAACTTTTTATAATTTCTTTGTTAATTGTAATTGTAATTTTAATTTATTGAATATCAATACTTTATTTTATTTAGTTGCTATAATAACTACATTATAATTTATGTTTATTATATATATATTATAATTAGACCTATATATTTCTGAACTGTCTCAAAAACTATAAACCACCGTGCATGTAGGTTAACAGAAAAATTAAAACGTTTTTGGTGAAGAAAAGGTTTTGAAAAACTTAAAATTTTATATCATTCACACCGTTTTTTACTATAACAATAAAATAATGATGACATTATTATCAATTTTTTTACATATAATATATTATGTGAGATAATTATTTTTTTTTCTAATAACCTAAACCTTAAAACCACTAATTACCAAGTGTTGAGGCACTCAGTGTTTCTCTAAAATCCATTAATACGTTACAGATATATATTAAATGGTTCTATTATTTTTTTGTTTTGTGAAAGTGGTTTCAGTTGGATTTAGAAAAGAGATTTACTAAATTTAAACGCGTTTTACTTCATATTTTTATTTGTTGTACGTATTTCAAAACATCAATATTATGATAGAATCATATTTTTCCATTTTATTATTTACCACTCGGGGTCACATACACTAATATGTATAAAAAATAAAAATAATACGAGGTTTAAACTATATTTTCATTTATAGAATTCATCGTGTGTTGATACGGTCGAAATCCATTATGTTCATTTGTTCCAATGCAAACATTTTATACCGCATGCACTCAATAGATTTGGTATAAAATAATAGAGTCCAACACTTTTAAAATACGGGTATAGGACACGTGATTGACGATAGCACTTTTGCCGACTGCCTTCCCCAACACCTCGAAAGGAGAACTTAGGCGCTAATCAACCCTACGTTTCGTGTAGGTAATTATTGGTATTTGACTGTAAATTGCGTTAAAATAAAGGGGATAAACACACATACAAACAAATTAGCATATCGGTTATCACAGTATAACCCAAAGCTTTCAAACACTTATTCGACAATTATATACCTTCGTTATGTTACCTGATGATGTATGTCGGAAAGAGTACTGAAAAATAGTTCATATATTTTTCACTGAAACTGCATAGTATTGTGTGATTTATTTTTTTACCTATTATGTTTAATTAATATTTGTCACTGGAATAGGTTATAATTTTACGAATAAAATACTAGCCTATAGCTGTTATTGAAATGTCGAAATTAAATTATTAATCTAATTATAAATGTGCGGCTATGCATTATTCTTACGTTTCATTTAAATATATATTATCATAGAATACGTACTTTATTTAAATCCAACGTATAAAACAGGAATCGCAATATCGTTGTGACGTGAATTAAAACTGAGTTCTTCTTATGCTGGGGTTAAACTTAGTCGATTTACATGATAAGAGAGAAACTTTCACTAGTACACCCAAAAGTCCAATTTTTCATTAACGCAAAGGAGTTTGGAATTTGATAGAGAATTATACTGCCAAAGAGTTTTACAACTCAAAATTTCCATTCAAAAGCAGAATACAGTACGTACATTGCTGTAACATATACAGCCATGTATTATCATATTAATTCAAAAATTAAATCACTTATTTTGTTCAGAAATCAGAATTAATATGGTATTATTAATGTTAAGAATATCATTTAAATTTAAATTTGATCGATTTAATTTTTTGTCAATTTATATAGATAAAAATGTTTGGAAATACATTTTAAAAGGGTTAGATTAACATATATCAAAATACGAACATTTAACTAAATCGTAAAAAATAAATTACTTTTCATAAATTATTCATTGGATACATCAACAAAAGATTCATTTTTTAATTGTTACCTTTAGTCAAAGTAGTAAGTATCAAATGTAAAAGTCCTTTTTATTATTAGCTCAGTTGACTTAGGATTTATGTCAACTCTAAACCACAATACAGAAAACATTTGTTTGTACAATACTTTGTTAAAATAATAAACCACTTGCATGTTTAAAATGATATGAATTAAATAAAATTTTATCAAATATCATTATGATTACAATAATAAAAATGTCGGAATTAAATAATTCAAAACATATTTAATAATTTTCGAAAAATCAAATTTATTTTAAGTATTATCAATTTTTTTAATATATTCTCAATTAAATAAATATATTGACAATTTTTATTGTGATAGATAGCTGTCATAGACATATATATATATATATATATTTAAATTTGTATTTCAATGCTATTTATAAATGTATCGGTTAAAAAAAATAATACTATTTATAGGTACTCTTTGCACTTATAATTGTTGACAATAAATATTTGCACATAATATTTCATATACAATTTTTTTAAATCCACTGTACTAAAGCTTTATAGTTAATTTTGAAGTCTGTAGGTTGTTATTTAAAGGACGATTTCGAGGAAGAAGAATGAGTGACATTTAGAACAGTTTATAAATGTTTGACATGAAATATATCAAGAGAACATTCTTAGAAGGATAGCTTGGATTAAAAAGTTTTTAGTAAACATATTACGATAAATGATGGTTTTAATTCGGTAAAATAGTTTCAAACAAAGAAACTTGTTTATACATTACTAAATGATTTAATTATACTTACCTCACATTATAGTTCTTTTAATGTTGTTTTGTACAGTTGATTCATATTTTTTATATGTAGTAATTAATATTTTATTTCATTATCAATATTCAATGTTTAGTTAAGTTATATATTTTTCAAGTTTTCAAAATTTATTCATCGTTGAAATATAAGATAAACTCGTTACACAGATTTTGGAAACAAATAAAAAAAATAATTTTAAAACAGTTTATTTAACAATATTTTCACATTTATTTACTAAAAATTAGGTAAGCTTTAGTTTTTAAGTTTTAAAACATTGTTAAATGAAGTTTATACGAACTTGAATTTTTTGTTTACTTGTCAATTTGTCAAAAACGAGGAAATTTAATAGTCGTAGGTTTAAGAATAATAGGTGGGGGCGTGTTTACACGTAGGCGGTGCTCAGCTGAGATGGCACATGGTTATTACCGAGGCAGTGTGCTTTAAACTTTGGTAGTGACGCCCGTCCGTCGCAACCGTTCGAAAGTCTGTTTTACGGTCCAAAATTCGAAATACCATTAAATCACGTGCTACGGAAATTTCACCTTCGGTGTTTTCTCATCCAATTAAGTTGCGATGTTGTTATTCAGGTATGTTTAAAATATTTAAATAAAAATAATTGTTAGCAACTTGACTGTACAAAATCAAAAAAAAAAGAAATATGTATACACGTGCCGTAAGTGAATAATAAAACAAAATTAATAGGATTAAAGTTTATCTTGTACATCATGCACTTTACTTGGATGAATAATTTGTGGTTTAAGTGAAATAAAATCCGAATGCATCAATGAAACCTTAAAAGTCAATGTAAAATATAAAATGATAGTCTAATACGCTTTGAAGTGGAATTGGAATAAAAGATTGGACGTATTTTCGAGCTTAATAAAATTAAAACTAAGAGATATTTATTTAAAGTAAATCATATTTAAAAGATAACATTCTAGCATTGCATTTTTTTGATGTAATAATATAAATAAGTAATAATACGTTTGCCAAGTTGAAGCGGACTGTAGATTTTTTTATTATAATGTAAATTTGTTTTAATTTAATAATACTTCTATTAATGTATAATTTAATGAACATTTTATCATAATAATGTTCAACCAAATTAACCTTGAATTAGAATATTAACATAAATATTAAAAATATTAACTACAGTTTTGTTTATATTTATGAAAAACTAAGAAATATAAAATAATAATATGAAACAAGTATATTTTATTATTGGATTAAATAAAATATATGACTTAATAAGTTAAAAACTAACTGGTAACAATTAATAGTTTCTTATAATCTTATAGTGCATTGTGGTAATAAATAACATCCAGTAACTAAATTATATTTTTACAGTCTATGTTATATTTTATATCAATAATAAAATATATATTTTCTTATTTAAAAACATATTTTTTAATATTTAAAGTTAATACATATTAAAGAGTTTTTTAAAGACATTTAATCAACTATTAGGGTTTTAGTTAAAAAAAAAGATTTTTTTTATTATTTAAATCATATTATTTGGATATAATAATATATAACAATTAATTTATTACATTAGAGGTGTTTTTCTGAGTTTTATAACTGATAATAATTTAAATTTTCTATTATTTTTTATCTCAATATATTACAAAGTATTAAAAACTTATTAACTCTTTAAATTTATAGAAATTTGACTTTTTTCATATTAAACTTCAAAGTTACAAGAGTTTTTAAATGTAAAATGTAAAGAAATTTCATGGTTTACATAATAATTTTTTTCATTAAATTTTATTTTATTTAATTTGTTTTAGAATTCTTTCGGAATGTATTTTTTGTTATTATTTACTCTCTATTACAATTTTATTCGTTTAAGACACATTTGAACTATCTGAAAAAATATATTTGTCTATTGAATAACCAAGAAATTACATTTTTTTTTGTAACACGGCTTTTGTAACAAAAGGTCTTATCAACCCTTTGTCCTAAAAAAATGTCATTGTGATTCCCATATGTTAGTTTGTTAAAAAAATTGTCTTATTATAAAATTATGCCAAGCAATTTTAAGCGAAAACTGTGTTGAAATGTCATCATTCATCATGCTTGATGACAGTAGTAGCAGGAAAATTCAATTTAAACAATCTTTATAGTGACAAACCTTTTGGAGTTAGGTGAGCTATGCCTTTGTACTTACAATTTTCGTATTAGTATAAAAAAAAGATGAAAAAGAAAAAATAACAGTAAGCATTTATTGATGAGTTAAGTTTTTCATTTTCATTTTTACTGTTTACAAGAATAGTATGATTTATCTTTATTCGACGTAACCACTTTTGGGTACTGTTATAATAAAAAATAATAACAATGAATACCTTATGAAAGACCTATACAGAGTGATCGCTTGAGGATAAGACACTCTAGAAACTATTGTAAATGTTAAATTTTTGTAAAGAATGATATTGTTTGATTTAAAAACTCTATAATAATATGTAGCGAAATAATTTTTTTCATTAATTCAAACACAAAAGCCTAAACTTTAATTTTCTTAAATGGAAATCCTTATTTTTGGTTTGATTATATGATAACAAAAAAATGTTCAAAAAATTTTATTCTTAAAATATTTTGTCTGACAAACCGTTTGTGTTTTAAAATTTTATAAGTATTTGGATTTTAAATGGAAAATCATTATATTGTGTTTTCATAATACTAATGTCTATTAAAATTCGTTTAAATTATTATCATGATGAACCAAACGGTTCATTAACTAAAAAATATTACAAGAATAAAATCGTTTGAACATTTTTTTCTTACATCTATAAACTATAAACTAAATACGATTTTACTAAATATATCTTAAAAAGAAATAACATTTATAATTATCAAATGAAAATAAGAAGTTGACTGTATATTTTTTTAAATTATTATCAATATTATTGAAGTTAATATTTTTTCATTATTGATAAATCTTAGGGTGATATAGGGAATCGAAAGTTTAAAAGAGATTTAGAAATAACTCATTTTTTTTTCTATAATAATATCTTATTTAATGATGTTATCATTATTAAGAAAATAATATTTATGTAAGAAGGTTGGACAAATCAACAGTTTACATTGATTTTATTGAATTATTCGAATTGATTATAATCTACTACAGCTACTAAAATAAAAAAATCTAAAACACTAAATTAATTACTGAATAAATTAAGTATTTTATGTTATATCACAAGTAAAATATAATATTATGAGTAGCATAATTGAAAAATTAATGTAAAGCTAACCAATAATAAATTTTCAATTACGGTAGTATTTTAAGGACAACTAAGTGCACCCACACATTTTCGTATCTCAACTTAAAATTTATTTTTTATTAAGCTAAGTGAAATTATTATCGTTAGTATTTATTTTATATGTTTAAAGAAATATTTGATACATAAAATTAGTTGTTTTTGGAAATGCGGCGTGATTTAATTTTGAAAGAGTATGTTTTCATTTGTTATGTATTTATTATTTTTTAACTTAGCTTATTTGTAAACGTTATAATAATAATATTGATAAAGAACTGTTTAGAATAGAATAGAATAGTTTATTTTATTGTTGTACTTTTGTTAATTATTGTATTCCAACAATTACACCAATTTAATGTGTTACTGTGCTTATGAACACTCAATTTCTTTTTAATGAATTAAATGATTTAATGAATGTTTTGCATTTATAACAACTAAGCAACGTGATATTCTTAGAAAAAATTCGATATATTCAATTTTTAAGCTAATTGTTCTAAATTTATAACTCTTAAGAATATACTAATATTAATGAATAATGCGAAAATTTTAGTTACTTTAATTTAGAATGTATGCACTTCATGCTTTTTAATGATACCGGTTCTTATGAAAATTGTACTGTATCTCTCAAGGGAACATTGTTGAATGAGATTAACACTTTTTCAGAATGAAAAAGAAATGTCCTGTGAAACACAACGTACATTTTTTAGTGTTGTCCCAAAAGCGCTGTATTAGGGTCTTATGAATGCTTTAGTGTAGAGGGATTTCCTTCTATTGTAAATAAGGTACAAAAAATGTGTGCACGATGTTGTTAGTTTATCGTGCTAGAGTCACTTGCAATTTATTAATATTGCGACTGCATATAACCAAACCATATATAATCATATAAACACCATAATATGGTTTTAATGAAGTTAATTAAAAATTAATATTAATCATATTGAATTTACTTCATTAAAATTTACTTACACACGTTATACATAATTGTATTTATTTATTTATAATTAATACGCCGAATATAGAAAACTGAGCTTCAGAAAATATATCGTGTTAATACGTACCTTAAAATTAGAGCAGAGTCGTTTTAAAATGTATAATATGTTATCAAAATTTTTAAAAGAGATAGATTTTCATAAAACTGTGTACTCAATTAGGATACAAAGAAAATTAAATTCTTGCTTACATATTAATTATATGGATTAATCAATCAATTAACATATACACTAGGTTTTTAAATTATATTTATTATCAATTATTAAGTATTCATTAAATTTATCTATGGTTAATATGGTATTTTATTAAATAGAAAGCATTACTCTGTTTAAATTATATTTTTACTAGTTAGTTTTTTGCGCCTAGCCTTTACAATGAAAAAAATTTATAGTTACGACCGAAAATAATGTTTAATTTATTGACGAAATAATTGTATAGTTAGGAGAATTATTTATTTAATTGATCCAATTATAAAAATAGTTAGATACATTTATTTTAGTAATTCCAATTAGATATAATAGTTGNTATTTTAGTAATTCCAACTAGATATAATAGTTGTCCCATTTATATGAGTTAATTATTCTATGATAATTTTGTCGCTATATTAACAAATTGTTAATAGCTATAAAATAGATTTTACCGTGTAACTAGTCTGTATAAAAGTTTTATTTAAAAAAAGATTTTTAAAATAACAGTTTAATTTCATAATTTAAAAGTAGATTACTTTTTAAAATACTAACATTACCTTCAAAATATTTTATTGCATATTTGAAGATGTCATAATGTTAAAATAAAAGCCTGTAATAAAAAATAGCTTTATTATAAAACTTATTGTTGATGTTGTTTGACACCATTTTACATTGAAAAAACTGTTGAGTTGAAACAACCATTTGAAAAGTTACCCTAACCAAAAAACATAGTTAATATAGTTTGAAAACTAAATAATATACATTGTTCAAATCTATGACTAACAACTATAATTAACTCGTATGTCATCTATATTTTAGTTAATCAAAGTATAAAAGAGCAATTAAATGTATTTAGTAATTTCAAGAAGATTACTATAGTTGTGCCAAATATAATTTATTCAACTATTTTAGTAAGGTTTTTCTCTACGACGCATTGGGTCGCGGGTTCTAATCTTGTTCCGTGTCTCTTTATTTCACATGATTTTCGGTATACTCTCGATGACCGGCCGTCAATCCTCAGCTTTGTTATAAATTATATAAAATATCCATAAAAGGATATTTGTGTATATTTTATACATATATAATATAAAGTTTATCATTTAAAAAAAGAGTAAAAAACTTAGAGACTTTTTAAGAGAGGAATGTACTTCTTTT